AAACATTAGTTCTAATTACGAAATACACATGCTAGATGTCATACTCCTTCATAAATGTCCAAATACGTCCAGTCTTGTTTATCAGGCATGCGGAAGTCGATCTCGTTAAATAACCCACTCGCAAAGCTCAGTCTGCTCCTCTTCATGTTGTCAGCAGTAAATGTCGATGGAAATGGCAGTCCAAGTGCATGATACTCAATGAACTTTAGGCAATAAACTCCACAATCGCCACCACCATCTTGTTGTGGCACTACGTCAGTTTCCATCCTTGTGTGCGTGAAATGCTCATATGTTAAATTCTCTTTATATTCGGTGGAAGCCATTTCTCGAAGAAGATATGGTACCATGACTGCAATAGACTCTACTGCTGAAGCTATCTCTTCAGAACTAGCATGAATTTGGAGGCTGTCCCAAATGACAATGTGCCTAGAAGGTATTGATATACACAAAGCAACCCAATGATCCCCTTTAACGTTCAACGGTATGTATATGTCTTCAATCTGAAGCCCCATGTCTTCTCCGTTTTGCAGAATTGTGGTGCCTCGCCATTGTAATAACCAAACGCACCAGCTGGTAGCATTCTCCCTGAGCCATCTGGATTCGGTGTACTATCAAGGAAGTCTTTGTACTTGTTACTCCACATCAAGCCCATTAATGCATCAAGCAGGCAAATACGGTCACTCCTAAACCATTCCGGATGTTTCGACGTCCGGTGCCTCAACAAGTTCATGATGGCGTCCATATGCTGTAGCCACAAATAAATAGAGAATAATCTACACGAGAAGTATATGTAAGAAATCTACGTTAGAAGTCTACACAAAAATAAAAATCAAAAATGGTTCTCAGAAGCCACCACCAGTGGTTCAACGGTTGCTTCGTAGGGTCCCTTTTTGGCCAATTTCTGCATAGACATGAGTAGACAATACTCATATTATATTGACAAAATTACTGAATATGTAGACTTCATAGAACTTGTTTCGATAGTGAGGACTTATGGAAGATATTTCAGCCAATCTTGTAAAGCCTTACTCTTCTCTGTGTCGACTGGAGCAAGAGGATCATATCCACCAACTTCTTTTCCCTCAACGAGAGCAACATGTTGATAGTAAGCAGATAGCCTCCTTATCCTATCGCCATTAGCTCTTGACACAATTTCTGCTGTCCTCTTCTGCGTCTCTTGTTTTTTTGACTGATTATCCACATCTTTTTGGGTTCGTGGGAAGTTTCCTAGACATACGAGACTTGGTTCTTTCTCTTGGTTCATACTTTCACATGGATCTTGTTTTTTTATTGCAAGTGAGTATTATTAAGATGTCAATTCAAAGAAGGAAAAAGAACATAAGTAAGAGGATTTAATAATTTTGAAGAAGTACAAACATCACAAAATAAAAGTACAATTACTAAAATTAAAAGGTTCTGCGGGTACAAAAACATGAATTTGTTTGATTAAAGTCTGCTTCTTAGGCTTAGTTCTTGCCCTAGTAGAGGGAGGCCTTTTAGAGGGATCAGAACTAACCCGACCAGCAGGTGGATCTTCTTTATGGGTGTCGTTGTTAGACTTCACCTGCTCCGCATTTTTTTGGTCCTTCATCTTGGCAATGGTTTCCTCCACAGCCACGACATTGCCAGTAAGGGCCTTCAACAGCAAATTGCACGCCTCAAACCCAAGCTGCATTTCCACAGACAATGCTGAGCAGGAGGCCTGGATTTGTTTTTTAATCGTCTCCACCAGAGTCTTCAAACTATCCTCATCAATTGAAGGAGTATCAACTGCACACGACCTCTTCTGGCTTTCATTATCAGATTCGATGCTTCTTTTCTTGCCTGCTGTGGCCTCCAACTTGACATTGATCGACTTTAAAACACCATGGACCCGTCAATCACTTGACTTCCACTTCCAACCATCAACATTAAACTCCCCAGACATTGCTTTCAAAATGTTCTCGATCGGGACATCATCTACCTCATCATCCCAAGTTGGGAACATATCCTCCATCGCCTTCACAGTAAAGTTGTTGAAATTAACCTGCCATAATTCGGGTGATATTAGTAAGACAAACGAAGCCTACACAAGATGTCTACACACGAAGTCTACAAAAGAAGTCTACAGAAGAAGTCTACACAAGAAGTCTACACCAGAAGTCTACATAAGAAGTCTACATGAGAAGTTTACATGAGAAGTCTACACGAGAAGTCTACACGATAAGTCTACACGAGAAGTCTACAGAATAATCTGAATCGAATGCAGTTTTACCTGTTTAAGCAGAGCCTCTTTGATGTACTTTCATCCTCAGCAACCGCCGTAAGCCAGAACCGGTGTAGTTGTGTTGTAGGGAAAGGGATTGCCGTAAGCTCCGAATTCTAGCATAGCATAATACGCCCAGACTTGTAGCACTTCAGCAAACCCCGGAAGCGTATATGCTCTGGTCAAATTCGCTTTTTTCACTGAATCAATGACAGTCCTGAAAGCCACTCTTCCCCCTGGGTAATTTTCAAAAGCCTCTAAATTCATGACTAGCCTTGCCAGCTTAACCCTTGTGGGTGAGTCCCTTCTGCATCCCTCAATGAATCCAGCGTAGAGAGATAAATATCCTAACCGAAGCCTATACTCCCTTGTCCAGGCTGCAGCATACTTACACGCTTCTGTAAGTTCCTCAACACCATGACCAACCTCTACATCAACGCCAAGCTTCTCCCAAAATTCTCTCGTATCAGGAGTAACATCAGCTTGTGGATCCTCCAGATCTGCTATGTACTCACAGTTGAGACCAGTCAGGTCTTCAAACTCATTTAGTGAGAAACTCAATGGGTTTACACCGATCAAAGTCTATATCTCGTACTTCTTCATGCACTGAAGCTGAAAACCGAGTAGGAAGTGAACCACCCTCGATGCCCACCCAAAGTTCAGTTTGTAGAATTTTAGAAATACGCCCAGCTTCGATTCCAGCAGCTTTTCCCATTCATCGGTTCTCAGTATTGCTTCCAAGGCAGGAAACAGCTTCGAGTCATTGCTGTAATAGCCTATGCTTTTAGCCGGCAGAGGCTCATCTCCCTTTATGTATGATCTTTTTGGGAATTGGGGCTTCTCCATCCTGCTAAACAAATGGGCAAGCTCGAGCAAACATGTAATAATTAATGTATATGTGACTGAAATCTGAATAGGAAGTCTACGAATGAAGTTTACTTAGGAAGTCTACGAATGAAGTCTGCTTAGGAAGTCTACATAAAACTTTAGGTACAACAAAAGCTTACCTTTTTTCGAATCCTGAAATAACTGAAACCACAACAAAGCCAATGGAGACAACCAAGGGCATATCTGAAAAACCCAAAAAAAAAATCTCAAATTTTGAAGACGAAATATATGACATACAGAATGGGGGATGAAGAAATATTACCCGCGATGACCGTGACGAGTGGATAGGTAAGATTGCAAAAGCGGCAGCAACAACATAAAAGCAACGACGAGAAGATAAGAGATAAATGAAAATCGATTAAAATAAAGGAACATATAAGAGGTAAGATATCTGGTGAGTGCGAGAGAGGAACAAAGATTACCAGCGGCGACGATGTGAAGAGGCGGCAGCAACGACGATGGAGATCGTGTAGAGGTGATAGAAATGACGACGGTGAGAGAGGCTTCGAAGATCTAGAGAAAATTAGGGTTTGTTAGAGAGTAAATTCTCTATACGGTAAAACGATATATATGTCGGTTAGATTGTTCAATTTACCACTCTAAAGCTGATTGCCAACACGTTTAGCGGAAGATCAGTTGCTCCCACGGTCACAAAGACCGAGCTTTGCTTCCTGTTCCAAGGCGTGAAGCACTTGGTGTGTGACCCGGATGCAAATGATGAGCCTATGGAGGATGAGCTCGGCGATGAGGTGAACTACGGATGTGTGCTTGCTGCTTCCTTGGTGAAATACAAGGTTTATACCTTGCGGTGCAAGGCAACTTCTTCTTACATTGGTGGCTTCCTCACTCCTCTATTCTTGCAAGCTGGTGTGCCTATACACGACCTCGCACATGTACCAGCCAGAGCTTTCATGGATGAGGCCTACATGAGGAATACCGACAGCTTGGGACGCACACCAGCAGAAGGGTTCTACGCTTACCTCTTCATAGATGACGAAGACAAGAAGAGGGTGTGCATCCTGCCAAACAAAGACGAGACCGAGCTGCTTGGTGTTGGGAACATCGAGTTCTTGCCCACGGAAGAGGAGTGCTTTGCTCCCCTAGGAGGACCACCTGCTTCAGCGATTGCTCCTCGTCAAAGGTCCGAGTCTCCAGCCACGGAAGATGAGATGCCCGAAGCCTACACACTTCCAAAGTTAGACTTTGAGCCGAGAACCAAAACAGAGAAGTTCCTAGCATCTGTTGTGGAGATGCAAAGGAAAATCAATAAGTGGCAAGGCAAAATGCTCAAGAAACTTGGCAAGAAAGTCAAGGCACTTCGAGGAGGCTCACCTAAGAAGGATGCAAGTAAAGAGGTTCACCAACCCGAGAAGAGAAGGCTCTCAACCGGTGGAGTTGTCATCCGCGAGGCACAAAGAAGCACCATTCAGCCGGCGCGCCATTCTCTCCAAGAACCAGCCGACAAGGGCAAAGCAACAATCTCTAGCTCCTCTGGAACATCCTCAAGTTCCAGCCGAGACTAGACCAGAGGTAACAACCTTCTTTCATTGTACATAACCGCTCATATTTGCTTCCTTTTGCCTTGTGTTTTGGTGCTCCTTCGAATGTGTTTGCCACCGGGACGGTGTCAAGCAAGTTTGGGGGAGTACATGTGTGGTTTGACATGTGAATTGCAGACTTCTTTAGACATCTACAAGAAGTCTACAAGAGAAGTCTACTTATTTGGTTCAATTGTGATTCGTGCCGGTTTATTCCGGATTTATCTGGTTCCCGCCCAATAAGTTGAATAATTTTGGTATTCCCGCTTGCTTTTATTCGAATTGCAGACTTCTTTAGACGTCTACAAGAAGTCTACAAGAGAAGTCTACTTATTTGGTTCGATTGTGATTCGCGCCGGTTTATTCTGGATTTATCTGGTTGCCGCCCAATATGTTGAATAATTTTGGTATTCCCGCTTGCTTTTATTCGAATTGCAGACTTCTTTAGACGTCTACAAAAGAAGTCTACAAGAGAAGTCTAAATAAGAAACCTTCGTGTAGATGAATTTCAAAAGATACGATGATATACTAAGATCTCCTCAACCTTGCACAAAGGCAGATGATAAAAACTACAAAGACTACAGAAAGAACAATCACATTCCTCAGCTCGAGGCATCTCAAACGCTTCTTGTCTACAATTAGCTCTTTTAGTTGAGCTAGCTCTGCCTCAATCCGATTATGTGCTTCCTGTCCATCACCATTTTGGAGGACACGAATACAGTTTCCTTGGTTGTCCAGGGCTCATCGTAGCTCTTGAAATTCCTCTATCACGGCCTCATCCCACCACTTCACTAGATGAGGGAGACCAAACTATACAAGAACAACATAATACGTACATTTCTTTTTTCGTATGAAAACAATTTTGTTACAAAACATACACTAAAATAGTCTGTTTACCTTATAATCCTTGCATCCAAAGAACATCCTACCAAGATATTCGTCTGCATTGTCCATTGGTCTCATCACGGTAAGCAAACCGCAGTAGCATCTGTTAGGAATTCCCAAACTCATAGATCGACGCAAAGGAGTAGAGCTCAATTCTGGTTCTCTGTTACTCCACAACCTTCTAGAACTACTTGACGGTTGACTGTAGTTGTATCGCCCCATTCCTATGTTCGAATATGGACACAGATCTGCAATAAAGTCAAAGGGAAATGTTGAAACTCAGATTATAAACCCGATATGAAGACAGATGAAGATACAGTGACATAAAAATATGAACACAACAAAATAATAAATTAAACGAACGGCTTACTACTAGCACAAAAGGAAAGGGAGAGGAGGTTGATGGCAAGAGAGAGAGAGAGAGAGAGAGATGAGGGAGATTAGATTGACGGCAAGAGAGGAAAGAGATGAGGTTCACGGCGAGAGAGAAGGGAGAGGAGAGGGAGGAACCGTTTTAGAGAGAGATATATTTTATTTTTAACAAAATTAGGTTAAAGTCTGCTTATATATAAATGTAAAGTCTCCGGTTCAGTTTAAAAAATTTCGGTTCTGACCTAGTTAAAAAATGGTTGCTTTATTTTGAATAGCAGACTTCTTTTAACGTCTACCAATGAAGTCTACATTCAACCAGAAACTCTAAATCATATTTTTTAGTTTTGTTACCATAACCTAAACATTAATTTTCTTAGCATTTCACTTTTTAAATTTAAAATAACAATGATATGGACTCTGAATCATTGACCAAATCATAAACTCTGATTCATATACAATTTGGGTTTATCCTAACAATACCCTAAACTTTACACCTATCCTAACCCTTTTGAACTTCAAACCCTAACTCTTTTGAACTTCAAACCCTAACTCTTTTCAACCTTATACTTATGAAACTTATAAATTGGTTTATTTTCATGAAATTTTATTTAATATAGATGCCAATTGTCTATGTTTTGGTTATGTTTATAATTTTTGTATCATAATATTTTTTATAATTTTAGTAAAAAAAATTAAGATTTAATTATGTAGTAGACTTCTAAAGGGTTGTATGTTTTCTAGTTAATTTTCTTTCTATATTTAAATTGATTCATTTCTATGAAATTCTGTATTATATACATGTCAAGTATATATGTCTTACTTATGTTTACCAATTTTTTTATAAATTTTTTTATTCTATATTTTCTAATCAATTTTTAAAAAACTAATTATATATATAGACTTCATTAATAGTCTACAAAAATAGATTTCTTTAGAAGTCTACGATTATAGACTTCTTACGTAAACTTTCCAAAGGATAAAATATTAATTTTGGCAAACGTTTTTTGTTTAATCACAAATAACTAAACTATAATTTCAATATTTTTTGAAGTTAGTTTTGTCAAACATTCAATAAAAAGTAATCAATTTTTAAGTTATAAAAAGTAATTTCTTCTTAATTTATAAATATTTTATTATATAGAGCAACAGGTCCAAAAAGCGAAGGTCACTTCAGTATTTTCAAAAAAGTTCTATCTTTACCTCTTCTGTATCTCATTACTTTCGCACTGGTCGGCAAATCGAAATTGAAGAACCTCTTCTCAAAAACACAAAGGTCACACAAACTGTAATTTTCGATGGGGTCCATAGGACAAAAGGTAAAATGGAGCTGGAGCTCAGCCTTAATCGGAGCAGCATCAGCAGCAGCAGCAACTTCTCTCTTGAGCTCCAAGCCAAAAGATCCAACTTTCCACCTTATCTCCATAGACCTTACCTCACTGAAACTCAACCTCCCTGTCCTTGACGCAGAATTAATGCTGACCGTACACGTCACCAATCCTAACATCGCAGCCATCCATTACTCCTCCACCACGATGTCGATCCTCTACGACGGCACGGTCCTTGGCACGGCTGAGGTCAAGGCTGGTTCGCAGCCGGCGAGGTCTTGTCAGCTTCTTCGGCTACCGGCGCGTCTCGGTGGGATGGAGCTAGCGCAACACGCGCGGAGGTTCTTTACTGACGTGGCGAAGAGGGAGATGAAACTTGAGGCTAAGCTTGATATCGAAGGAGCGGCTAAGGTTTTGTGGTGGGACCATAGTTTTAAGGTGCACGTGGATAGCTTTGTAACCGTTGATCCTGTTTTTCTTGATGTTATTGTTCAAGAGAATAGATCTCAGATGGATTTGTCTCTTGCTTAAAACAAATGGTAACATGTTGAGTTTAATGGTGTATAATCATTATTTTCACTGTTAATCTAATATATTTTTTTTTTTCAGTTTTTGAGTAAGGCTATGAAGTCATCCAGAGTAAATTTGACATGACTATACGAAGAAGATGTAGCATAAACTATTAAACGATGGAGTACATAGTTTTTCAACTGTGTGTAGTTTATTTTGCGATAAAAATTAGTGTTATAAGGGGTGGACATTTCGGTTTTTGGTTTGGTTTCGGTTCGGTTTCTTCGGTTTTACGGTTTATCGGTTTTACGAAAATTCAAACCATATAAAAGTTATATACATTTAGGTTCGGTATGGTTTGGTTTTTTACGGTTCGGTTTGATATAATTTGGTTTCGGTTTTTTGGAATTATACTATCACGAAAGTTTTTGATTCAAACTAATGGAAATAATAATAATAGATATGAGTGAAATAAAACAATAAATCTAAAAAATAGAATCTAAATCATAAAAAATTCATCAATAAGGACAGATTTCAAAACAAAGAAACAAACAAATTATCAAATATTTCATAATTAATAATTATAAAACAATAAACAAATCTAGATTAAAATTTAATACCTATAGCCTTGGAACTAGAACTAGAAGACTTGAATGTGAAGAAAAAAGAGTTAATCACGTTTTTCTTTATTGAAAAATTAAGATTTACTTTATTATTTATATGTAGATATTTTTTATAAATATTATATTTTAAATTTATGAGTTAAGTTAGTAAATTATAAAGATAACTAAGCCAAATAATAAAATATATACCTAAACTAAATTAAGAAACTAGGAAAATATAAATTATTTAAAATTTAGTTTAAAAACCGAAAAAACCTTTTGGTTTGACGGTTTTTAACCAAACCAAACCTAAATCAAAGCTATAAAAAAATTAATGGCCAAATGGATTTTTAGATTTAACCATAACCAAACCATATCACTTTTTTCGGTTTGGTATGGTTTGGTTTTTTCGGTTATGGTTTTTGTGCCCACCCCTTATACACAATCGAATTTACGGAACTAGAAGATATTCTGATTCGCATTAACTTAGTAAGTAGATTCTATGAGGATAAAGTTTTAAATTTTTTGCCAAGATTTCTTCTATATAAAGAAAATTAGAATTAGAATTTTCAACACAAATTCTTAAAGCATTTAAATATAAAAATTAGAAATCTTAGTAGAGCAACTCTAGAGCTGTCGCTGTTGTTCGCCACCGCTGAGGTGAGGAGTCGTCGTTCGTTCACTTTTAGACGTTGTATGCTTGAATCTTTTAATTTTTGTCGTTAGATTTATAAACCGTAATTTCTTTTAATTTTCTTTTGAGTAGGCCAAGGTGATGATGTGTTCATGTATTCTCTTTTGTTTATCTAACTTGATTCTGTTAGATCTGGATTTTAAGTTCTCTAAAACTCCTACAAGTTCTGCTTTAGGTCATACCTGGTAGATCTGTGATGTGTGCTAGGTTGTTCTTTAATTTCGAACCTAGACCTAGATGTGGATTAATATTGTTGATTGTTGATTGATATTGTCTTGCTTATGAGAATTATGAATATGAATTGCATATTGTGTGTTAAAAGCACAATTACTTTAGGGCCCAGCGGTGAGAAAGCACTGCTGACGTGATTATTGCTTGCGGCAGAGGTTGTGCCTGTCGTAGTGCCATGTGATGCTCAGTTTGACGAACCAGTCGCACAGCAACTTAGACTCTTGTGGAGATATGTCCCCTAGTAACATACGAAAGTTATAGAGGTTGATATGTAGGGTACTGTAATGAGAGACGTTCAGTATGCTCGACTTGTTTACTTGTTAATTGTTTGTTGATTGTTAGAATAATCGTTAAACTGTGCTTGTTTGTTTGGTTCTAGCTAGCAACAGATTTGGATAATGATATATATAGTGGACCACATGTATGCATTCTCCTGGGTAATATACATTACTCTTCTCCTCCCTGCTCCTTTTCCTCCTTTTGTAGGTGAGAAAGAGCAGTAGGTGTGATTGGCGTTTGTTGGTGGTGGTTGGTGTGTTTAGTTTGATTTTTGGAGACCTAAAAAACTTAGCTTTCAGTTTTTATTCAGTTTAAGGATTTATTTGAGTCGATTTCGAGTTTAAGTCGGTTTTGCAAGAATATTTGAGTTATATTTATGAAAGAAGATTGATTTTGAAGTTAAAGTGTTGTTTCCCATTCAATGCATTTCGTGACATTTAGAGTAGTAGATATAACATTCAAAAATGTCTTTCCTTTGTTCCTCGCTTGCTAATCAAACCCCTTAAGGATCACTAACTCAATAGGACACATCAGATTGATTAAACCCTTATCGTTATACTACATCAGGTTTTAGTCGATATTAACCCTTATGCTTAAAAAAATATATTCTTCAATTGGTGCTGTTGCCGGGTGGGTTTTGCTTTTGAGTATTGAACTTTTGGTTTTTAGAAAGACTAGGACTTTTTATTTTCATTTACTAATCTCTCTCATTTAGAACTTTTTGTAGGTACCACCCAAAATCGATCTATATAGAAGAACCACAAGATGTTAATGAGCCGTTTGAAGCTGCAAGGGTACAACATGAAGCCCCACGACCGCCAAATACAATTGTGGAATGTGACTCAACAAGAGCTGGTATCACACCCCCATTGATCGAGCCTGGTTACGAAATAAAAAGCAGCATGCTAGCAATGGTGAGAAAAACAATGTACCATGGTGATACGTTGAGGACCCACTAGATCATCTTGATGATTTTGAAAAGATATGCTCCCTCACCAAGCAAGAATGGATCTTAGATGACAGCTTCAAGCTGCAAATTTTTCCTTTCTCCCTTGGAGGAAAAGCTCACCAATGGGAAAAGACTTTCAAACCGGGATCAATATCGACTTGGGCCGAGTGCAAACAGGCGTTCCTCACTAAATTCTTCTCACCATCCAGAACGGCCGAACTCTGTTTTGAAATCTCAACGTTCATGCAAATGAAAGGCGAACGTTTTGGTGAAGCTTGGGAACGGCTAAAGAGTTACAGAATCAAATGCCCCCACCACAGATATTCATACTCGTCACTCTTAAGCATCCACTACAGGGGAGTGCTGAAACGGTATAAAACTATGCTCGATGTGGCAAGAGGAAGATGGCATGCAACTCGTAGAAAACCTTGATATACGTGACAGTCACTATGAAGATGAGTATGATGAGGCTAAGGCAGAGTCGGATAAAAATCAGGAAAAGGAAGTGATGGAGTTACAGGAACGGTTGGACATGTTGCTAAAGGCACAAGAGAAGAACACTATTGTTTTTGACACTAACAGTATGAGACCAACTGACGAATCAACACGCTTTGAAGAGGTTCACTGGGTACCAACAAAGTGGCACCAACAAGCCAAAACCAAGCTTATATAGAGCACAACCGGGACAGTACCACACTTATCAACAATATCAACACGGCTACGCTCCACCACCGTCCTATTATCAGCAACAATATCCACCATACCAACCATCCTTTGGCCCCCCACCCTACTGGTATCAGGATTTTGTCTAGCTACTCAAATCTTAACACACTCAAGTCATTGTATTATGAAAGGTATGAATCCATTTGAGTTCATAAGACACTAAGAATGCAGAAAATCACTTAAGTCAAGCCAAATTTAAGAAAGCAGTTATGATAAATCTAACCAAGACAAAGCAACATAAATTTAAAGCAGGAAATTTAAATAGATTAAAGCAAGGATCTAAGATGGGGGTTATTGACTAAGATGAAATTAGAACTAAACTAGTGATGCTTTAAAACAATTTAAACAATGCTATCTTCTAAGCTTATGATTAACATTTATAACTAGCTCAATTCCTTGATACTAATTACTTTTCTATGCACATATTGAAGACAAATTTCTTTACTCAAACACATGATCAGCAAGCATTGAGAACAGAACTCCAATCCTATATAGCCAAAATTCACCTTAGACATATAATTTCTTAGGCTTAGAGAACAAATCATCTAAAAGACTTTTTGCAGCATTTCATCAAACACTTATCAGGTATAAGAGAAAGCCAAGATACTAAACAAGTCTGGCTAAAACTAATCTAGTGTTAATCACATCTAATAGAGAGAAGACAATCATATTAAGCATAAGATATCACTAATATAATCCTAAAACCCCTCTAATCTATCCCATCTCAAACTATAAATAAGACTACTCACTAGCCATAGTCAAAACCACAGATTCCAAAGAGAAATAATGGTTAAGCATCATTAGGAAGCAGAATAAGCAAGAATAGATTAAAGGCAAATGCAGAATTTCACTAAATCAAACTAGTCCTTACAAAGAAAAGATGAAAGAGGAAAGGATTTTAAAGCTAGAACAGAAGAAAATTAATAAGATCTAAGTTGCCTAACCATTTTAGGACTTTAGTATTTATAAGGGAGCTTAAAAACCCCTAATAAACCAAGACTAAACCGAAAATAGGCTGACTCGGATGGACCATATCGGTCATGTACATCGATACACACATCGATATTAAGTCTTTTTGTGGGTTGTATCGACATGGCTTGGTCGATACGGAGGTCGATATGCAAGGCTTCAAGAATGTATCGGCTTGACTCTCTTCGGTGTAAAATCGATACAATCGCCCTTTAGTTAAGGCTTATCGGGCATACACGTCGATATGGTACCTCGGTATTGTCCTGTCTCTGGTGTATCGATCTGGGTGATCGATACACTGGTCGGTATGAGTCTCCTTTGGTGTATCGAGGTCCTCCTTAGTCGATATGCTGCCTTTACACCATGCTCTTGCTGTATCGACTTGAAGTGGTCGTTACTCACTTCGATATGCTCCATATCAATCAGATCACATCGATATCATCATCGATATTGGCCCATCCGATCTTTTCCTTCTCCTTGTTCCATTCCCAGCTCATATCCATTGCATCACTTGGTCTCCAAACTCCTTCTAGTAACTGAATAAAACTCCAAATGTATGCAAAATGCAATGCAACTCCTAAAACTACACTAACTCCTAAATGTATGCAAATGGGACAAGAAGAAGCAAAATATGCATATTTAAAGACTAAAAGTAGTGATGAATGCAAGCTAAAATGGTATAAATATTAGAGATATCAACACCCCCACACTTGCCTTTTGCTTGTCCTCAAGCAAACAAACTAAGACAAGGAGGAAGTGAGATTTGGAGGTGGGCACTCAAATCCAAAAATGCTAAGGTAAAGAAGTGAAATTAATGTCTAAGTGCCTAAGTGTATAATGCAAAACACAATCAGTTATATTTTAAAGAACCTAGCCATGCCTATCCAGTTTTAAAATTATCTCTAGCTCAACTTAGTCAAATGCTCAAATCAATCAATCTCTTTAATATTCATTTAAACTTTGTAA